TTTTTCTTTCCTTTTTTCTTTTTTTTTTGTTGTTGTTTGTTTTTAATTTGACAAAGTGCATGTAGTCACCACAGAAAGAAGGAGAGAGAAAGCACTCCTGAAGGGGCATGGCCTTTCTGCAAACCTTTCTTCTTCATTTATTCATCCTGTCATGATTTGGGGTATGCACACACATATGCCTAGCATGTTTTTTCAAGATGGTAGGGACAGGATTTGAACTGCACACACAGCCATGTGGGAACCTGCTCCCTTAACCACTAGACCATGGAGCCAGCCCAATATAAAAGCCTGTTTTAACATGTAACTTCACTTAGAACCTCTTATAAAATTATTCACTTTTACTTCAACACTTCACAATTAAAATTTTGATGACACAATCAACATCTTTTTAATCCTGTGTATTCCTTAACAAATTATTCTAGCTAATATTATTTCTAATACTTTTGTTCTTCATACTAAATACATAAATCATTTACATCCACAATTACAATATTATGCTATTCTGAATTTGTGTAGTTACTATACCTGTGAATTTTATACTTTCATGTTTTTGTGTTACTATTAGTATTGTTTTCTTTCACTTAGAAAAACTCTCTTTAGCAGTTTTTTTTTTCCCCTCAGTATTTTGAATATATTATCACATTCTCTTTTTTTTTTTTTTGGACAGACTTTTTGTGTAGGTCATGTGTGCTTACTAGAAAGACAGAGAGCTAGAGAGACAGAAAGTCAAAAATCACCTACCGGGGGGATGGCCATGCCACAATCCTTTCTCCTCCTTCATTGTCCTCTCGGGATCCTGGGCACGCATGCACACATGCCCAGCATGAGTTTAAGCCACCTGGTCCAGGACTCAAACTGTGGTTGGCTACATGGGAGTCCTGTGACATAGCCATTACTCCAAATGCTGGTCTCTATCCCAGTCTCTTCTGATACTATAAAGTTTCAGCTGACATATCTTCACCAAGCTTCATTAGAACTCCCTTATTTGATACATTGTTCTTTACTTCGCTGCTTTCAGGATCATGTCTTATTTAAAATTTGACAGACGTATAATATGTCTTACAGTAGTTTTGTTTGGATTGAATCTGATTTAAGCCTTTTGATCTTTCTGAAGTGGCTTATTTTTTGGGGGGGAAGGTGGTATTTTTGGTATAGGGCATGTGCACTCACCAGAGAGACAGAAAGCGAGAAAGGGAGAAATCACCTTCGAGGGGGGCAGGTGGTGGTGGTGGTGGTGGCCACACCACATTTGCATCTCCTCCATGCTCCTCTCTGGATCTTGGGCACACACGTATCTGTGCCCAGCATGAGTTTTTGTTTTTTTTTTAATTTTGTTTTTGTTTTTCGTTTGTTTGTTTTGAGAGGTTTTTGCTATAGGGCACGTGCGCTCACCAGACAGAGAGAGACAGAGAGACAGAAAGTGAGAAATCACCCCCCGGGGGAATGGCCACGCCATAATCCCTTCTCCTCTACTCTCCTCTCGGGATCTTGGACACGCACGCACACACGCCCAGAGTGAGCCACCAGGTCTGGGACGTGAACCGCGGTCAACTACATGGGAGTC